GGGAACTGATAATATGCAATGAACTTTATATTCTACATAGTTCTACTATTACTTTCAAACTCACAACTTATTCTGGTGATGGTCGTGAGCCTGGGAGGGTGTCAGGAGTACTTAAAATTGTTAATTTAAGGTACATAATCTCTTCCTGTTTAAAGCAGTTCCTATAAATTCAGAACAGTCTCTTTTGCAAAAACGATCAATCTTTCCAGGTTTCATTCTCTTTCTCTTTCATAAGAAGTAGTCTTGGTGTAATAGACCTAGTCTTTAAGAATATTGTAAAAATTCTTTTTCATTGGTTAAAGGCTCGACATTCCTTTTTATTTCTCTTTTACTTCTACTATTACGATCCTCGTAATTCCTAAATCATATGTCTGCCTCTGGCTGAATAAAGGGAAAGTCATGTAAATGCAAACTTAAGAAAGCATGTTAATATATCTCATAAAATAAGCCTGTTAAAATGATATGCCTATGATGCCCCTGGAAGGCAATTCTTCCTTTTCATCCTTACTACTCTTCTGTTGAACTTCTGTAAAATTCTTCTAACCAGTTACTGTGATTCCATTCTCTCCCCTGAAATTTATGTTTCACATTCATACCTGAAGAATAGTCACATTCTGTCACTACCCTGTTCATATATGTTTTGGAGCCTGAGTATTGTCCACACAGCAGACCTAGGCTTCTCCACATCAAAGCCAAGCCTTTCATAACCAGGCCTTATATTATCGTGGCCTGAGAAAAGCACCTGATTTTATACTTTCAGTAATAGAGTGTTCACTATTTCACAGATGTGCGATCTATATTCCTTACCCTGAGCATACTGGTATTGCTGCCCAGAATGAGTCTGCATTCCTATATCTACCTAGGGAAATTCTATATATTCATAAATGCTCTGCTCAAATGTCACTTTCTCCATGGAGTATTCCAGATTCCCTTCTCATAAACTAATTCTTCCCTCTTCTATCCTGCCCATGTTACTTTCTCTAGATCTCTATTGTGCTTTTTCACATTATACACTGTATTACAATTAGTAGTATACATATATCTTCCTCTTTAAGTTTTGATGTTTAAGTTCCTTGAGGGTAGGAGTCAAGGTATATTTATATTTTTTATCACACAGAATACCTAGAAATATCAGGTCCTCAATGACTGTGAGCTGATTTGAACAATAAAAATGTTAGAGATAATAAAAGTTAAATAGTTGCATTTTATTATCCCTAATACATCGAATCTATACTCTGGAGACTACATTGCTGGCACACTTTGTATTCCTTAAATTATACTTTCAATTCTAAGGAGGTTCTCAGATAAATAGAAAAATATTCATTTTTTTTGTTATGGAATAAATATAATACTTTTATCAGTGAGATTAATAATGTCATTTCAGATTTCAAAGAAGTAATTTTAGAAATCTTGCCAATATCAATCATGCTTTCTTTTTTGTCATTGAGCGTAGAAATTAGGTTCTTGCTAAAAAAGCTGAAAGCAAATAACTTTTCCTTCCAGATAGATTTTAGAAATAAAACAAAATTCACATAGCCAGACAAAACATACTGCTGGAAGAAGTTGATGAAATCCTGGAGAGGTTATTTCATTTTGGAGTTCAAGTGGCAAATCAGTTATTGTATTATGTGAATCCTAAATTGGCATTTGGCAGCAAACAAGAATCTTTTGCAGGAAATAATATGCTTTATTTTCCTAAGTGCCAGTTACCTCTGGGATTCAGCCTGAAGTCTCTACTTTTATCTTGCTCCATGAGCAAACCCCTCCCCCTTTCTTGTTCCAGGGCATGATAATGAAGCTATTCATTATGCCTTAAGGAAGCTCAGACTAGTAACACAAGCTATCATTAGTTTCCCCATTTCAGGATTGTCCCCAATACAGTCTATAATCACCTGTGTTGTAGTTGAACCAGGTAAAGTAGAAATAATGGCTACTATAAACCTGAAAATTATGATGCTCTTTGAGAAGACACATAAAGCACCTGCCTATTTTATTAACTTATTTTTCAAAGACTCCCTTTAGATGTTCAGTGACTTTCCTAAGAGTGATTTGCTTTCAACAAAAAATTAAATAAATAAAATGTCCAACCCTTCTGGTTGCAAAGATAGGCTTTTTCACTGTAAATCAATGAGTTGTTGTCTTGTTTGCTCTGCCACAAGAAAGATGGACACAGCACAGAACCAATGGTGCTGCTTCCTTGCCTCATTTGTCTTGTGGATCTGTTGCCCGTGCAGCCCATCCTTAACCATTTCAGCTCCCTTTTGCTGCCATTGTTACAGGGGCTCTGATTACAGCTACTTTAAAATATAGAATAAAGTTATTTTTTTCTTATTTTTCAGAATGTCAGATGCAAAAGATTGGATTATTATAGTTCTGTTTATGGCACTCTACCATTATTTGCCTGTGCCAAACTCTTTTCTTGTAATTATTTTAGTTACATTTTAATTAATTAATTTCCTTTTGGCACCATTCCTCTCACTCACCTCTTCCCCATCCCTAGAGACAACAACGGACAACCATTCTAACATGTTGGTCACAAAGCTTTCTGTCTTCATGTGCTCTTGTAAAACATGCATTGTTATTTTGTGTGCATGAAATTTAAATTTCATAGATGATATTGCAGCGAAGATCTCATTTTTATTTTTTCACTTAGAATTACCTTTTGAGATCTTGCCATGTTGTGTGTACATTCACTTATTGCATCTACTGCTGTTTTGTATTCTACTGGTGGCATCTAGGTCTCACTAAAGAGTACTTTAATTGACTCCAATTCCCTGTCAACACAAGATATATTGCAATACTCATGCTATAAGATTTTCTTCTGCATGAGAACATAGGATAAATTCCTTAGTATGAGATTGCCAGATCATAAGGTTATATATATATATATACACACACACATACCTTATATATATATATATACACCTTATATATGTGTGTGTGTATATATACATATATACACACACACACATATAATTATTATTGTCTACTTTTTCCTGGTAGAGGGTTTATATTAAAGAATACTTAGTATCTGTTTAGTATATATTCCTTATTTGACAACAGTTTGTTAAGGAGAATAGATTTGCAAACTCGCTACTTTTAAAATATATTAAAAAAATATGCCATGGAGCACACATATACACATATATAATTTATTAATAATTTAATTTTAATTGATCAAAAATTCTGTACATTTTTATTGAGTTAATTATCTGATATTTTGTAGTTTATGTGCCAAACTATTTTTTGTTGCAATTGTGAATAATGTACTTTCAAATCTATTTTTCTTTCTGATTTTATTTATTTAGGTCCTCTCCTTTTTTTTTTCTTGATGAATCTGGTTAAGGGTTTATCAATTTTGTTTTTCCTTTCAAAGAACCAATTTATGGTTTCACTGATCTTTTATATTGTTTTTCCAGACTCTATTTCATTTATTTTCCTTTTGATATTTATTATTTCCTTTTTTCTACTCACTTTGAATTTCGTCTGCTGTTCTTTTTCTATTTCTTTTAAGTGTAAGATTAGATTGTTTATTTGAGATTTTTCTTGTTTCTTGTGGTAGGCCTATATTGCTATGAATTTCCCTCTTAGGACTGCTTTCACTGTGTTCCGGAGAGTATGAGTCATTGTGTTTTCATTTTCATTTGTCTCTTTTGATTTCTTCCTTGATCTCACTGTTAACTTACTTATTGTTTAGTAGCATATTATTTAGCCTCCATATGTTTATGTATTTTCCAATTTTTTACTTGTAGTGGTTTTCTAGTTTCATAATATTGTGGTCAGAGAAGATGCTTGTTATAATTTCAGTTTTCTTAAATTTGTTGAGACTTGTTTTGTGGCCTAACATGTGGACTATTCTGGAAAATGTTCCATGTGCACTTGAAAAGAATGCATATTCTGCTGCTTTGGGGTGAAACGCTCTGAAAATATCAATTAAATCCATCTGGTCTAGTGTGTCATTTAAGGCTGCTGTTTCCTTGTTGATTTTCTGTCTGGAAGGTCTGTCCATTGGTGTCAGTGGGGTGTTAAAGTCTTCTACTATAAATGTATTACTGTCGGTCAATAATTGCTTTATATATGTAGATTCTCCTGTATATGTTTACTAGGCTTATGTCTTCTAGTAGTGATCCCTTTATCATTATTTAATGCCCTTCTTTTTTTTTTTATTATAGCCTTTGTTTAAAACTCTATTTTGTCTGGTATAAGTATTGCTACCATGGCTTTTTTTTCACTTCCATTTGCGTGAAATATCTTTTTTCATCCCTTTACTTTCTGTCTGTGTGTGTCATTTGATCTAAAGTGAGTCTCTTGTAGACAGCATATGCATAGGTCTTGTTTTCTTACCCATTCAGTTACCCTATGTCTTTAGTTGGAGCATTTAATTCATTTACGTTTATGGCGATTATTGATAGGTACATAGTTATTGCCTTTTTATTATTCTTATTTATGAGTTGTTTTCCTCTCTATTCTTCTTTTTACAGAAGTTCCATTAACATTTCTTGTAATACTGGCTTGTTGGTGATGAATTCCTTTAGCTTTTTCCTGTCTGGGAAGCTTTTTATCTCACCTTTCACTTTGATAGCCTTGCTGGGTAGAGTATTTTTGGTTATAGGTTCTTGTCTTTAAATATTTCTTACCAGATCTGCAAAGTTTCTGTTGAAAATCATCTGACTTTTTATGGGAGTACCATTGTAAGTAACTAGTTGTATTTCTCACTGCTTTTAAGATTCTCTCTTTATCTTTAACCTTCGGCATTTTAATTATAACGTGTCTCAGTGTGTGTCTGTTTGGGTTCTTCTTGTTTGGGACTCTTTGTGCTTCCTGGACTTGTATGTTAGGGAAACCTAACCTTTGCCAGTTAGGGAAATTTTCTGTTATCATTTCTTCAGATAGGTTCTTAATTCCTTGTTCTCTCGCTTCTCCTTCTGGTACCTCTCTGAGGCTAATATTCGTATGCTTGATGTTGTCCCAGAGGTCGCTTAAACTTTCCTCATTTAAAAAAAAATATGGAATGCTTTACAAATTTGTGTGTCATCCTTGCACAGTGGCTGTGCTAATTTTCTCTGTCATTCCAATTTTAGTATATGTGACGAAACGAACACTTAAGACTGTTTTCTAGATTATTTCTGGTACAGAGAACCATTATTGGTTTTGTTAATCTTGTATTCAGTTACTTTGCTGAGCTTTTATTACTTCTAATAGCTTGTTGATTTTTTTTTTTTCATTTAAAAGTAATGACAGTTTCACCAGCTTATGTCATTCCTTATTTCTCACTTATTTTGTTTTTCTTTTAGTGCTGGCAGACTCCCCAATACTATGTTAAAGAATAGTGCTGAAAGAGATCTTCTTATCCTTTCGATCTTAATATTTCTGCATTAAAAATATTTGTAACAGTTTTTTGTTATATAATCTTTACAAAGTTAGAGAAATTTTATTTTATTCCATATTTTCCATGAGTTTGTGTTTTTTTATAATTATAAATTAGTATTGAATTTATCACATACATTTTATGCATCTATTTTGATAATTTGGTTGCACATCAAGTTCTAGTTTCATAATTGTTTTACTGTAAAATATTACCCCATTGTGTTTTTAATATAGAATTCCTGTTGAAATGTATGATGTCAGTATGTTTCTTCTTCTTTTTAGATGATCTGCTCTCTCTTTTGAACTTTAAAAATTTATACTTTATATTTAATATCATTGCATTATTTCTGAATGTGGGGCTTTCTTGTGGCACTCTGAATAGTTTCAAACTCAAGTCTTTCATCCTTCTTCAATTCTGGGAATTTCTTGAAATATTTTATCCTGTTCATTATTTTACTCTCCTTCTGGAACATCTAATTTCTAGATTTGACAATTCCATGTATATCTTCCATGTCTCTTTTATATTTTTTTCTCTTTTTCCTTTTTTCCTGCCAGCAGGGAGAATTTCCCAATTTGATATTCTAGCTTGATAATTTGTTCTACCTATAGGTTCTTTATACCTTTTTTTCCCCACCTATTGTGTTCTGTAATTTTCCTTCTATTTTTTTTATGCTTAATACTACCACAGTTCTTTTAAAAAAATAACTATTTTTCTGTTTTATATATTATATATAAACTTATGTGGCTAATATCTTTCCATATCTTTTAAGTATATTTACCATACTTCAGTATATTTCTCCTTGTGCGTTTGGGGAGGTGGAGGAATAAGATTTAGCACAGAGAAATCCAAACGCCGCAGAAACTATTGTTGAAGAGGATTAGTGGACATTTTTTCCCATTCAGAATGTCCATGGAAACATTTGGTCTACACCAAAATGTCCTTGAAATTGGTCCTATTTAAAAGATTCATGAACAAATGTAGTCCATGCCAACTGGTCCTTGATATTTGGTCCTGTCAAAAATGTCCATGCTTAGAAAATGTCCCTGGGTCCAAATAGCCCATGATGTTTATTTACGCTTTTGGTTTATAGGATAAATACATAAAAAACACTATCATGTTTTATTGGTCCGCTAGTTGTGTCATGGCTATACTGCCAACAGTCCTTTTTGCCTCCGTGGACCAAATATCAAGGACCTTCTGGAGTGGACACACCATCTCAGTGGATGTTTTTGACAGGACCAAATATCCTACAAGGTTGAAGAGTATATTTAATAATTTTTGTTTTGGTAATACCTCTTAACAATAAGCAACTTATAGAAGAGGCGGTATACTTAGGTTGTCCTACCAAACCTGAATTGCTGGTGGTGGAGAGGGTGAGATTAGAGTTGATATGAAGTTAGTAGTGAAAGTCTGAGGGTAGCTGGTCAGCCAGCATCAGTTAAGATCAACTCTACATCCCAGTAGGGTTTCTAAGCTGTCCAGATGGTACACCACCACTGATTCTCCCCAGGCCAACAAGCCAGATACAAGAGCAGAAAATTTTAAAAAGATATAATTTTATGTAATGAGATGAGCCTCAGAGAAAGTAAACTATTAAAAAACTTTAGAAATCATGGTCATCAAAAGCCTCTCTACTAAGACCATGCCACCCTGAACAAGCCAGATCCCTTCTGATCTCAGAAGTTAAGCAGGTTAGTACTTGGATGGGAGACCACCTAGGAAGACCAGGTGCTGTAGGCTTTAAACAAACAAACAAACAAACAAAAACCTCTCTGAGAAGGTGACATTTGAAATGAGGCCACAATAAAAAGGGAATTCCAACAATGTGAATATCTTGAAAGAATGTGTTCCAAGCTAAAGGAAGAACAAGTGTGAAGTCCCTGAGATGAGAAGAAACTTGGAACACTGAGAGTAAGCAGGAGATTTGTAGATGAGTTTTAGAGGTATGTGAAACCAAGACTAGGCGTGGTTTTAAATGCCAAGGCATAGAGTTTCAGTTTTACTAAAAGTACAAATTGAAGTCATCAAAGGGTGTTGGGAGGTCTTAGCAAACCACAACTATATCCAAACTAGGGCAATTACAATGAAGATGGAAAAAAGGGCAGTGGTTTAAAATATAACTGGTGAATATAGTTGCTAGCATAAAATATTCATTTGTATCATCTTTCATGATTTTTTTCAACTTCACTTTGTTCTAGAAAATTAAATCAATGTCTTCAACATTTCAGAATGCTGATGTTTCATCTAGATGTTCTTTTATTATTATCTGCATGTCAATCTTTATCTTTCTAAAATCTTTATATATCACATCAACCTGATGATAAATGATTTATATTGAATTCTCAATATTTCTCAACTTAATGTATGCATTCAGGCATAGAACATAAATGTTTTAAGCAGGTAAAGAAATTAATTTCTTCAAGTTTAGAAGGATCTTTCTTTATTTATTGTAGAACTCCTTATAGTTTACATAGTCACATGTCCTCATTATTGCTATCAATCCTATACCACCTTTCTGGAGTCTACTTCACCCCAAATAATGGAAATAATGCCTTTTTCCACAGCCCAAGGCATAAGACAGATTTTATATCACATAATTCTTTTGATGAAAGAATGATGCCAAAGAGCATAATTAAATGTGCATCAGACATCATTGCTCCTAAAATCAGAAACCACACTCTATCACAGAGAATCCCCTACAGGCAGTTTCTCAAGTTCTGTGGGCTAGTCAATGATGAGGGTCATTTTCCATAATGAGTAAAATTAAATGACCATTCCAGTGTCTTTTCCAAAACAGAGTCATGTTCCATTATGGTGATGTGCTATTTCTACTATTAATAGCTAACAACTTTTAAATGCAGCCATTTTGTTAAAATAATTTGAAGTTCTTCACTAGGTACCATATTATAAAACATGGAACTATCCTGTACATATTTTTTTATCTCCTGCTTTTTAAAACATAAGAATGTATTGAATTTTAAAATTTCAATGAATAGTTCTTAAAGTATTAATTTAAATAATAATAATAATAGACTTTGGACTTTTTTTCCTAAGTCCTTTACATTTATTTATTCATTTAATTCTCACAACTTTATGGTGTAGGTATTATTTCTATATCCAAAGCTACATGGTTAAAACAGACAAATTAGTTAACATTTACAAAGTGCTTATAATGTGCTAGTCACTGTGATAATTGCTTAATATAAATTATTTACTTATATTTTTCCTGATAGTTCTATAAATTTGTTAAATGGGAAAACTGTTCATGGATGCAAAGTAACTTGACTAAGCTAATTAGTGGAGCCATAATTCAAACCTTTTTTTTTTTTGCCTAAAAAAAATTATAGTTAATGTTACTAGATTCCTCCTATCATTTCAGGGTTCAAACACCAGAAGATCTGTCCTCATCAGAAGCCAAGGTATAATTTTCTATCCGATAGTTAGAGTTTTCCGGAATATGAAAAATCAGCATTGTCGACCTAAAAAATAAGCATAGGGATTTCCAGATTATTTTGCATTTGCCTGCCTCCCACAAAGCCATTTTTCTCCCTTTCCTACCCTATGACTAGGAGTTACCCACCTGGTTTTTCCCTCATGTTGGCCAATGGAAGGTACAATAGAAGATGGGGAAGGGAGGGAAGACAATCAAAGGATCTGTGCCCTCTACTTTTCTTGGTGCCAGGTCTCTGGCAATAGCTGTGTGTTTCTACCTTTAGAGCTGCTGCCCTGGGGACTCCTCCAAATTGCATTTGTCACTAATCTTAGGAAATGCCTTTTCTTTACCTTATCCTTTCTGCTAGAGCAACAACTTCCCACTGTTGCTAGTCTCTGGAAGCCTCATCATCCCTTTTAATGCTGCTTATCCCTTCTGTAAAGAGTGGTTTATTTATTCATATGAATCTTCAAGGATGAGTGTTTCCTACAAGAGCCCTGACTGATTTAAAAAAAAAAAATGGCAAATTAGATTTATCGTGAATTATATTTTCCATAAAAGAGATGATGAAGGCAGGATATTTTGAGAATGGTGCTTGGAAGTTGTAATGGCAACCAAAATAAGAAGTATCTGGTTGTGTAGAGATAACAAGGGAACCCCTCAGCCAGGTGTTCCAAGGGTTCACTTATCAGCAAAGGTATTCCCATTGCATGGAAGTTTCAATTTCACTGGGAACTGTCAATCAGAGTCTAGCCATTATAAAAATGTGGGACCAAGAAAATGGAAATATTGAGTAATAAAGATGCTATGAGATACTCTACAGAGACATTCCTACTCTTTGAGGCAAAGGAAGTAATGGATCTTGCAAAATAGTTGGGAGAGATGGACTATGAAATTACAAATCCTACTTTACCCCCCCGGCTAGCAGCCCTGAAAACCTATTACATGCTCATGTAGCACTATGGTGTTGCTGTGGTAAGGGAAAACAAAATTGCCATTTTTATTTAAACTCTAAGGAGAACTTAATCTAACAGTTATTGGGGCTTCCTCTGTAAGCAATAAGTTTGAGAATTTATACCTTTTTGTTCTGAAAAAGCTTTCTCTGATAATTGATTATATTATACAAAGTATTTTTCTTTCTACTTGAGTTTGATTTTTATATCCCCTCATAACTTTATGCAACAACAGAAAATTGGTTGAGTCCTGTAGTGCCATGAATATACTAAGCTCTTTGATTCTTATGTGATTTTGCTTAAACTTATGGAAATATTCTAGTCCCTTCATTTTACCCCAGACAATCT